TCCCATAGGTACAATAAATAAAATTATTTAAAAAAATTATAAATTTGTGAGATAAAATGAATTACAATTTTATATCTAATATCAACGCAAATATTTCAACTCACTTTTACGTTTAGGACCGAAAAAAGTAGTTATTATAGGAGACTTCTCCGATGATTAAAACAAGCTTCATGTTTAATTTAGAGGGAAAACTTGGTATTTCACAAGTTATGATGATGATAACATGAATGTGATGGACGTTGTTTCCCTTGTAATTAGTTAAAGATCAATTATTCCAATTAACCCTTTGGATTAGGTAAATTAGTTAGGTTATAAAATAACTATGAAAACAATCATTTGTTTATGAATGATCTAATTATGTAAAAATATTGAGTAACCACGACAAAGTATACATATATATGTCCATGGCACAGGAGCTCGTTGCAGGTGAAGAATTAATGGCAGTAATTTTCAATTATCTTAGTATTTATGACAGCTAACTGATTGTCACCGTCCTGGACAAAAACATGAAAACCTAATGATACTTTACATAAAATATATTTTAAACGTCACTAGTCATAATTAAACTTCTTTTTGTCAAACTTCTATGCAGACATGAAATACTTATAGCACATATAATACTGAATATACTACTTCATATATTTGCAACTAATGTGTGATGTTTTCATTTAACATGGTATTTCCCCTGATTTTGAATATAGAAATCAGATAATTAATTAAAAAACTTAATAAAATAAGTTAAATTAATTATTTATTAAAAAAATGTATATGTTGTTTTTGTAAAAAAAAAAATTCATTCTAATTATTTGCATGGAAAACTCAATCTAATTTTAAAAAAAATCATAAATTTAAAAAACAAAGTAGATTAAAGTTTTATATTTATGATCAAAGTAAATCCTCCAAATGGCTAGTTCCTACATTTGAGATCAGGGTAAGCATATGCATACATTTATAGCGTCAAGCTATAATATTTAAAATGATATAGTTTGATCGAATTCTTTGTCGCAAACTTTTAAAAACATGAATTTATATCATATTCATGGTCATGAAATGATGATAATCATGATGTAGTGGCGAGGATGATATCATAGACAGAGTTTGTAGTTAATATTATTTATTTATTTAGCCTTAGTTTTGTTAAGATGTATACTAGAATTTTGGTCCTACCGAGATATATATAGTAGCGTTTCATCTCTTTTGTGTGTTTCGTCTCTATAAACTCATTAATAATTAACCAAAGCTTGCTGACCTCTCTATCATTTTATTTATAGAACAAGAACTACACAAAATTAATTATTTTAATTTTCTCCCCGTTGACCAGTTCTATGATTATAATAATTTTATTTCCCCGTAATAATATTCAGCGTATAATTTGATCTTTATCAATCGGCTTTCTTACAAACAAATATCACTCTCATGCATTGAAGATACATTAAATAAAATGTCGAATATTAAATTGACCATCAAACCATTTCTTCTCTCATAGAGGCCACTTGAACGTTCCATATGACCAGTGGGACACAGTACTGAAGCAGCTGGAATGATAATAACAATGGAGGAACCACTTGAAAAGCTTCATATATGGAATTGCAATATTCTTGTTTGTGGCAACGACCTTATCTTTTCGTTGCTCTTTCTCCATCTCAATCATTACAATATATAAATATATATGTTATATTACCTTTTTTTTGGGGGGTTAGATTAAGAGTATCTTTACGAAAGGTATGGGGTAAATATCTTTCAACTAAATTTACTTAATACAGAGATTGAAAATCAAATCTTTAACCACAAGCCTAAAAAAAGGAGAACAACCTATACATTCCACTTGCAATCCAACGTAACCTTGAGTTTGTAATATATTATACTAGCTCCGCTCTTAATTACAAGAGCTTGTTTGTGGAGCAAATTACATCACAAACAAGTTCTTATAATTAAGACTGGGGATATTACTTTGTTTTATTCTAAATGTATGAGGTAGTTATTGAGAAATTTAATTTGATTATAAATATAAGATTTCAATCTAATTTATCTTTTATTTTATAATTTTTTTAAAATTATTTCTATTAATTGCGCACATGTAAAAGAAGGCTTTATCAGTTTATCAATATGAGTAGCTTGCGGTCCTCACTTGGCACTCACAATAGTGATGACTGATAAGTATCATCATTGCAATGAAATATGAACTATCCAGAATATGAAATGGATAATTCATATTTAAAATCTTTAATTTACCCTTTTTTTAATAATATATTTATTTTTCAGAGAAGAAGTTTTAGTCATAAAATTATTTTTATTTTAAATTTTATGTCTACTAAAATAAAAAAAGTAAAAAATTAAATTAAATATGGACTATTCAACATTAATTTAGATTATCCTAATTAAAATAAGAGGGGATGTACTTTAGAATAGTTTGAAATACAAATGATTGTGGGGGTATTTTTGAAAAATAAATACATAATTTTTGCATATAACTAATTTAATTAATTGATTTTTTTAATATAGAGTATTTAAATTAGCTAAGGATGTAACTTTTAGATTCAGAATTTGAAGAACTCTTAAATTATTCTCTCACACACATATACATATGTATGACGGTGAGTGTATATATATGTAGCATCACAAAGTCATTTTCATTATGAATTCCCCACTTTTAATTATATTTATTTTGATTTTGATTGGGAGATAGGCCAGGCGCACATGCACCGCTCCACAACTTGCTAGGGTTTTCATTTTCAGTATTTAATAAGTAGAAGATGTAAATAGATTAGCTCAGTGGATGGAATTCAGATTTAAATACTTTTTATTAAGTTTTATTAACCTTTCGATGAAAAAATGTTCTGATTAAATTAATAATTCCACTCACCCCTTTGATGTGTAATTAAAAATTTAATTTAATTAAAATATATTACCCCTACCGATCATAATTACCAAGTGTTTTCGAGAAAACCTTCTTCCTCCATAATATCAGATATATAATAATAATTATTTTTTTTTAAGTTTTACTTCTCAAAATTCTAACGAATGATCTCATATAAGTTATCCTAGGTAAAGAAGTGAGGCTTTTATAATGTTTACATTTTTTTAATCAATGTAACCAAAAGCTCTTAATATTGGGAGGTACTTACTGTAATTTAGGGTCATCCAGAGGAAGTAATTAGTAAATGAGAGTGGGTAAGATAGAGAAAGAATATATATATATATATATATATATATATATAGGCCCATTTTGTAGAAAATTAGAAGAGGAGCAAATCAAGAATCAGTCAAATTGGCCTACATTAATAAAACTGGTGGGTGAACCAGTCACACATTTTTTATTTTCTAAAATGTAATTCATTTTTAAACCATGATATATATATATATATATATATATATATTTGCACCTAATAAGCATTAGAAAATAAATAATATTGGACAAATGGAGCAAGAAACAAGTGTGTATTCCAAAATTATAATTATAAATTATAAAATAAGTAAATATATTAGCGATGATAACTATGCAGTATTAATGGATTTTTTTTACTGTATATTACTTTTCTTTGAATTCAACAATTATTTTTATGATTTTGAATAATATTTCCTTTTTTTCCCCCAATGAACTAAAATAGTAATGAAAAATATTGGACAAAACAAGAACTGGGCTGGAGAACTGCCATATGTGAGCCCAATTTTTTGGTAAGCCCAATCCATTTTTTTACGTCTTATTTACACAGAGAAGACAACGGGCCTTCACATCAGGAAAAACAAAATGGAGTGGGCCTACATCCTGAAAGAAAAAGACTTGGGCCTGATTGGTTTATCAACCATAATTATTTTTCACAACCTCTAAACAAAGACACAATTTTTTTTTTAATTCTCTTTTCTATATTTTGACTCCGTTGAATATGCTTATCCTTATTTTATATCGAATTTGAATGTTCATATTTAATTTCATTTTAATATTATATTTTTAATTTAAGCTAGTAAAAATAATCCTTTGTCGATTCCTAATATATTATAGATACTGCATTTAAAAAAAAAAAAGAATTGAAAACGAGTAGGGATTTCTCACATTTAGTATAAAAATCAAATATGAGAGATAAAATTCACAACGTAATTTGAGCTATTTAACTGGCCCTTGAGAGATTTCGGATGGTTTGAGGGGAATTCGAAGCCATTTTTCTCACATGAGATTAGAATTGTCCTTAGAACTTTTGACCATTTGCACCAAATTGTTAAGAACAGCTAACGCAAAACATTTAAATTCAAAGAAAAACAATTCACATCAAATATCTGACTAGAGAATGTTAGACTAAGTGGTGTATGGATATATGCCTCCTATATTTATAATTAGGAACTATTCATTAAAGTCAGGCAAAACCAACGATTTGAAACTATAGATATCAAAATAAAAATTTGATCAAATTATAAAGACTAACAATGATATTAATCCTTTAAATAATTTGAAATTTGAAATTTATTTTGAAAGATTTTTTGAAAAAATAAATATCTGATTAGTGATTAATATCAAACTTATTGATAGAAAAAAAGCCCTGGACGAACAAATATTGTATTTTGTTATACTATTTGTTGCTTGTTATGTTGCTTGATTATTATTCTTAACAAATTCGACGATATCATCGATAATCTTCTCAAAATTATCATCTGCTGATTTTTACTTTAAATAGAAAAACTTATCCCTCTTCATCAGTTCCAATATTCTATATGCCTCCGCCAGAATTAAAACGGTACGCCAAAAACCCTCATTTCTTCTTTATCGATCAGTCTTTTCTGCTTTATACACCGCATACGATTGTGACGTTTCTAGTTAGTTGTTCCTTGATCGAGTAGTTCTTTTATGTAGTTATTAATTATTAGTTAAAGATGTTTATGAATATCATGTGAGTTTTGAATTGAAGTACAAATTTTTAAGAACCAAAGTTGTATTTTGTTCGAATCTAGATGACTGTTCTCTGAACTTAGAAAGCTATATCTTTCTTCCTTTAACTGGCAGAATGAAAATGGAGGAAAAACCCTGGTCTGATCTTCATAGCGATCTTACCTCAATGATCTCAGATCAATTAGGGTTAATTGATCTTCTCAGTTTCCGTGGTGTCTGCAACTACTGGAGATCTTCTTGTTCAAATTCTTCGGCGGAAATCGAATCCTCAGTACCCAAACCATGGTTCCTGCTGTACGGTGAATCTGCTCGGTGTTCTCTATTAACCAACGACGATAGAATCTTTCGGATTGAGATTCAAGAAATGGCCGAAGCAAAATGTCTGGCATCTTTCGTAGGATGGTTCCTTTTGTACTGCAAGAATAGGAAATCACTCTCCTTCTTCTGCCCATTTTCTAGGGCCAAAATAGAAATCCCACAATGTCCATTAATCTCAGAACAATCAGAATCTGCAGAATCAGACATTTTTGCAGCATTTTCATCTTATCCTACAGATCCAGATTGTGTTGTCGCGGTCGTCAAACGTAAGAATTATGCAAAACTGAAGCTTTGTTTGCTTCGTCGTGGTGAATCAGAATGGAGCTTTCATAGGCATTTATGGCCAGACTTTGGTAAGATTAAAAGTATTGCTCTTCATGAAAGAGCTTTTCACTTCTTGGATGAATTTAACAAGTTAGTGGCCTTTGAATATGATACAATGAAATGGATGAACTATGAAATTAAACCCAGAAGCCCTAAGGGTAGTAAGAGTACTGGTAACAAAACATTGGACTATTGGGTAGATAAGAGTTGGATTCATAAAGAACCTTTCTCTTCCAATTCTGATAAGATGAAGAAACTTCTTGGAATAGAGGATCCTTGTTGTTCTATATCAGTATGTGGGACTATGGTTCTTAAAGGTGGTGTTAATGATCGTGTGATTTCACACGAGTTTCTTGATGATTATGACGAAGATCATGATGATGATGATGAATCGAAGCCACGCAGGGAATTGAAAGGTGTATGGTTTCAACCAAGATTTCATCAAATATCACAAGATCAAAGATGGTGATTAATTATTTAGTTTTGATTTGGATTTTGCAGTTAATAAATCTAGATCCATCTCCATGTACCATTTGACCATTTTTGAATTGGCTTAGTCATTCATGTTTTGATTATTCAATATTTGAACTTAATGGGGACTTCTTTCTGGTTTCATCTGGTACACAATTTGGAGATTTCTCTCTCTCTCTCTGTTTTTTTTTTAACTCAAATAGATGGCCTCTGATTTATATTTATTTCTTTTGTTAGACGTCTGATCTGATGTTTTGTCTTGAAGAATATATAGGATTTGCAAGAGGATGAAAATTTCAAAGAGTGCATTTATGGCATTTTTATGCACCTTAAATATGAGGAAAGGAAAAAGGTTAAAGGAAATATTTTTATTATGTTCGGTCAGTAACAAAGTAATGTCTTTTCTCGAAAAGAGAACTTCAATATTTATAAGGGAGATTTTTTGTGTAGATATAAGATTTTCTTCGAGTAAAGAATAGTAAAAATAAAAAGAAAGGTTGACCTTACCTAACATATATGTGAGATCCACAAATATCTATCTCTTTCCAACAAGAATCATAACAATTTTCCATCTCTAACAAATTAAATTTGTTTTGCTAAAACCTAAATGTTGAGTCCACTACACTTCCAAATGCCACTTCTTGCCATCACATCCATCGTTGGGAAGTTCTAAGCATAAAGTTTTGCATATTAAGTGGGAGATTTTCTACTTGGAGAGAATTTAGCTCAGTTCCTGTTTTTCGTTCCTATTTATATTTGACGCCAAACAGGTCATTTACTGTAAAGATGAAATATGTTGGAGTAATATGAAATTATAATTGGTATTGAAAATTATACATATATTACTTCATGTCTTGGATATAAGAATTAATTAGATAGATGTTGGTTTAACTCCATATTTATTATTGTTTTTTTTTTATAAAGAATTATCCTTATTATTAGAGCTGTCAAAACGGGCCAAACCCATCAGGCCAGTCCTTTTAAATGGAAGACCAGGCTTGTATTTTAGGTGGTTTAAAAAGAAATTGGACTTAAAAAGACTAGCCCTATAGGGCTCAAAAATAAAAAGGCCAACCTTTTAGGGCCAAAGGCTAGCCCTTTTAAACCCGCCTATTTTTTATTATTATTATCAATATATTTATAAAGTTAGAGATTAGTGTTTTATGAATAAATTTAAATTAGAAAAATACTTAGAAGAATCAATATTCAAGCTAGATAATTGAAAAGAATTAAATGTCTTGGACTTGTGGAAGAACAATTAAAATCAATTTTTAATTCTTTCAAAAATGGTAGCTGATATTCTTAACATTTTCATCACCATAATAGCTAGTAGATCTTCATTTACCATCGGTTTACATATCTTAACAAAGTGTAAAACTTTTCTTATTCGAACAAATATTCAGGCTCTTATTTGTACTTATAACTACTGCATAGTTTTATTTTAGATAAGGTAAATGAAGACAAAAATCTTAATATTTTTATCACTAAAGAAGAGCTCACTTGTAGTAAAAAACAATCAAATATTGTTGATCTTGATGATACTGATGAAAATGAAGATAAAGATAATAATGATGTTGATATTATTAATCTTTAACTGCTAGGTTTTTATCTTTTTGTTTTTTGTGTTTTGTTAGATTTTATTTTTTTTATTTTGGACAATAGTTTATTGGCATTTAATTTTTTTTTCTATACACCACTAATTTATTTTACTTATATTTATAATTTGAATAAAAAAATCTTAGAAGTTTTGTTGTTTTATTTTTTATTTTAAAATAATTAAAAAGAATTTAAATTTTAAAAAATAACATAAAAGGACCAGCCTTTTTAAGCCTGGAACCCGCATGTCTAAGGACCAGGCTTTAATAATTAGATAATTTTAAGGTATGTGGGCTTTAAAGGGCTGGTCTTTTTAGGCCCTGGCCCTTCAAGGGCCTAACCCTTTAGAACCAGACTGATCCTTATTGACAGCTCTACTTATTGATTGCACATGTTAATAGAATTTATATCAAATGATAGTTTCAATACAAATAATTTAAGGCATTTTGTTAAACCCTTTAAAAATGTAATTTGTTACACTTTACTCTACCATAAAAAAAAATTACATACATATCTTTAAAGTTTAATTTAGATGAGGTAGTCTTTAAAATTCATAAGGTTACGATGAGTTTTGAAATTTTAAAAATGCTTTATTTACCAATAAGGTTTTTGTATTAATAATGAGACTCAAGCCCACATTTTTATAAATTATGAGTCGCATTGTGGACCAACTTTTATTACTCATGTATCTTTTAAAAAAAATTACCAAGATTAGCTTTTTCTTGGACCTTATGAATAACTTCATGAGTTCTAGCTTGCCAGACATGCTAGAAAATAAAGAAAACGTTACGAAACAATTAAAAATTTCGATTAATGAATTAAATTAGTATAAATATAAAGGGATTTTTTTTTCAAAAAAAAAAGGGGTTATAGCCAATGAAAATTATTCCAGGGCACAAGTTGCAAAATGCTCGGCTCGAACCATGCATCTCAAAGTTGAAAGTCTTAGAACCGCACCATCTGACCCCGACGTGATGAAGAGGAAGGGGGCTTCCAAAATTTATTATGTTTTGTTCAAACGAAAAGGCCATTTTCAGGATAAGATGTTGGGATAACAAACGGAGGAGAGAAACAAGAACAGAGGCAAAACAAGATAATGGCTTCCTCGACAATGGCGTTAAAGCTGTCCCCTTCGGTAACCTGTGGAGGCATGAGAGCTCGAAGTACTTCAGCTTCCCTCACATTCCTTACTGGTTCTTCGAGACCCAGGTCGCTTTCCTTGAATGTTTCCCACAACTCCTCAGCCGCTCGCTCTTCGCTGCTTCACTCCTCCTTCCTCTGCTCTTCTTCCTCTCTCTCTTTCCCCTCTTCTGTTTCCGGTACTTATGCATAAACTCGATTCTTTTCCGCCGAATGTAGTTTTTTTCCAAATCTTACTGTGACTAGTGCTGAAATTTGTCTGCATAGTTTGGTTTAATTGAAATGAAATTTCAAATTTTTGTAGCAGTTTCGTAGTGGGCTTGCTGTGTTAACAGGCGGAAATTAAAATTTTGAACTGAACAGAGGCTAACACGTGAGAACCACAAGGAAATTTGGGGGTTTTTCCTTTTATTTTTCGTAGCAACCACTTTTGAGATGGCTTGTGAGTGATAATAGAGGTGGTTAGACTAAACGAGGAGAACAGAGCTGATTTAAACTCTCTCTGAACACTTACTTTATAATTACAATGCTAAGTGAATAATTCCTGTTCTATCTCTTTAAGGTAGATGTCAATGAGGAACAGGAGAATGTGTTGTTCTCAATAGTGAATATTATGCAGAAACGTCATTGATGTTCTGGCTTTCTGCTTTCATCATGCTTAATCAGCTAATTAGTCATTACTCTTTTGGAAGTATATAATAAAAGACTTTTTCAGATTTGGCTACAGTTCTCTCAGGTAACTGACAAATATCAGTGAGGAGGAGGTGACTGAGTTGTTATGTATGCCATTCGGAACTTCGTTTGATTTTCTTATTTTTGGGACCTTTTGGCATTCTTAATTGTTTATACTTTCAGGAAATATGCAAGAAAAATCTTTCTTCAGATTTAGGTTGACTGTCTCTAAGCTGATTTTCAATTTTCAGGTTTATCCCTGTGTCTGGATTTAAAACCTAATGTTGGTATTAGAAGGGGAAAATGGTGGCAGACTAGTTGTAAGGGCAGGCAAAGCTGCTCTTTGTATGACCAAGAGGAACAGGTCAAGAAAATCACTGGCACGGACTCATGGTTTTCGCAGACGGATGAGAACCACAAGTGGAAGAGCAATACTTAAGCGCCGACGTGCCAAGGGGCGGAAGGTCCTTTGCCCAAAGTCGAATCCAAACAGTGGCAAACGTGCTTAGTTTTTCCTATTTCATTAGGTAAAAGCTTTACTTCCTATGAATTTATTTAAGTTCCTAGTTTCCCCCTTGAACTATTGGTTTCTGTAATCTCTATATTTGAAAAATTTATTCTTTCTTATGATCAACTGATCTTGTTAATTCCATGTTAGTTGTTGCAAAGATGTTGCTATCCATCGCCCTTATTGAAATGAAGTCAGTCACTTTTGGCAGTTAGTTATGCATGTAGGATGTTCCCCATTTTTGCTATATTCGCCTTGTAACCATTGGTTTCTACAACTTGTTTTTCATTTCTGCCTGTTCTAATTGTTTACATTTTCACATGCATTTCATCTTTACTAACTCGTTTCAAACTCATCTTGTCTATTGCAAAGGGTCCGTTTCATGTTAAAACCAACGCATCACTTGTGAAAGTGTCAGCACGTTCCTTTACATTAGAGGGTACCACAGACTAAGGTTTGAGACTCAACAATGACCTTTCCTTCCCTCCCCATTTTAGTGGAGCGATCTTAATGGCGCTAATGGTTAAGCCATTTGATATTTCATTCATGTTTGTCTGCTTCATTTATAGTGATTAGAGGTACAACTGTGCCTCAAGATTCATTATTTTATTGAATTCTGATTAATCTTCAAAGTTTACACTGGGTAAGTGGTATGATATTTGTTTTTACTTAATTGTAAGGACGTATCAGAAAGCAGTAGGGAAGTTTTCTGATTTGGCTTAGTTTTGTGATATCTACTATCTACTGTGCCTGTGGGGATTACCAGAGGCAGCGAACAATAATGTTCTGAAAACCAAATCGGTGGTTGAATTGGTGTGACATTGGTTCAAAGTTTGTTTGTCTAACCTTAGTTGAACTGTGGTCAAATCAATCATAGTGGAATTAATACATTTTATTCTGTGTAAACAATATCATATTAAAAATAAAACTGTATTAAGGTCGTTAATAGAGAATTTGGCTGTCTATAAGCAGATTGGATCGCAAGTGGGTTTTAGACAAAAGTAAGATGATTCATTATGAAAAGACAGCTCAGAAAGAAATTAAGAAAACAGCTTATGCATATTTTGGTCTTGAACTGTGATCTCTCTCTTCAAGCCTAGAATTAGATTGGGTCCTACTCAGGCTAATGTCTAGATTATTCAAGTTGAGTTTCAGACCAGTCTATTATCCTACAAATAGAACTCCTATAGGTACACAAGCTCTTGCGTCTGAAAACTTTTCATTGATACTAGTCTAGATATACAAATGTCGGTGAGATTTTCGCCGAAAGGGTCATCATTTGCATCTTCTTTCCTACTAAATGATGCCATAGCTGTAGAACAAATTAGATTGAAAAGTCTAAAAAAA